CATTAATCTAGAAATTACAACAAAATAGGAATTAAACCAATAAAAACTAGAAAACATGGAGCAAAGTAAAGCATAACAGAACCAAAACCATGACAGTTAACGGCCCCCACCCACCTACAGCTTAAAACGTCAACTGTAACTTCTCAACAGGTTAATAAATCATTAAATAACAGTGAAGTGAGTGAAGTTATCGGTGTCAAACGTTTGTGCCGCTATCATTTTAAAGGTATAACACTAATGTTTCTAGAGGTCAAAGGTCAACAACCCCCCTTCAAGTCAGATGAAATGTGTGTCAATTAACTGGACTTCATTTGTTTTGCTTTTGCTTTGAAGATATTAATGAAAAGGTAAAGGTCAAAGGTCAAACACACACATACTTTTATGAAATCAGACAAAATTGGTGTGAAACGTTTGTGCAGTCCAGTTATAACCTGAGATGGATGGATTTCACTCTTTATTTTGATCTTTGCACATAGAGAACCCTCTCTTTGGGCTGCCACCTTATCGTGGTGGAGAGGTTTGAGTGTCCCAATGATCCTGGGAGCTATGCTGTCTGGGGCTTTATGCCCCTGGTAGGGTCACCCAAGGCAGACAGGTCCTAGGTGAGGAACCAGACAAAGCACGGCCCAAAGACCCCTATGATGAGCAAAATACTTGGATTCAGCGTTCCCTCGCCCGGATGCGGGTCACCGGGGCCCCACTCTGGAGCCAGGCCTGGGGGGGGGGGGGGGCACGATGGCGAGCGCCTGGTGGCCGGGCTTTTACCCATGGGGCCCGGCCGGGCTCAGCCCGAAGAGGAAACATGGGTCCCCCCTTACATGGGCCCACCACCCGTGAGAGGGGCCATAGGGGTCGGGTGCAATGTGTGTTGGGTGGCGGCTGGGGGAGGGGACCCTGGCGGTCCGATCCTCGGCTGCAGAAGCTGGCTCTTGGGACGTGGAATGTCACCTCGCTGGTGGGGAAAGAGCCGGAGCTAGTGTGTGAGGCTGAGAGGTTCCGGCTAGAAATAGTCGGTCTCACCTCAACGCATGGTTCTGGTTCTGGAACCAGTCTCCTTGAGAGGGGCTGGACATACTTCCACTCTGGAGTTGCCCACGGTGAGAGGCGCCGGGCAGGAGTGGGCATACTTGTTGCCCCCCATCTCGGTGCCTGTACGTTGGGATTTACCCCGGTGAACGAGAGGGTAGCCTCCCTCCTCCGCCTACGGGTGGGGGGACGGGTTCTGACTGTTGTCTGTGCTTACGGGCCGAACAACAGTTCAGATTACCCACCCTTCTTGGAGTCCTTAGAGGGGGTACTGGAGGGTGCCCCTCCTGGGGATTCCCTTGTTCTGCTGGGAGACTTCAACGCTCACGTGGGCAATGACAGTGAGACCTGGAGGGGCGTGGTTGGGAGGAATGGCCGCCCTGATCTGAACTCGAGTGGTGTTCTGTTGTTGGACTTCTGTGCTCGTCATGGATTGTCCATAACGAACACCATGTTCAAGCATAAGGGTGTCCATATGTGCACATGGCAACAGGACACCCTAGGCCGCAGTTCGATGATCGACTTTGTCATCGTTTCATCGGACTTGCGGCCGTATGTCTTGGACACTCGGGTGAAGAGAGGTGCTGAGCTTTCCACTGACCACTACCTGGTGGTGAGTTGGCTCCGGTGGTGGGGGAGGATGCCGGTCAGACCTGGCAGACCCAAACGTGTTGTGAGGGTCTGCTGGGAACATCTGGCGGAGTCCCCTGTTAGGCGGAGCTTTAACTCCCATCTCCGGCAGAACTTCGAACACATCCCGGGGGAGGTGGGGGACATTGAGTCCGAGTGGACCATGTTCCGTTCCTCCATTGTCGAGGCAGCTTATCGGAGCTGCGGCCGCAAGGTTGTCGGTGCCTGTCGTGGCGGCAACCCTCGAACCCGTTGGTGGACACCTCCGGTGAGGGATGCTGTCAGGCTGAAGAAGGAGGCCTATTGGGCCTTTTTTGCCTGTGGGACTCCGGAATCAGCTGATGGGTACCGGCGGGCGAAGCGGCATGCGGCTCGGATGGTTGCTGAGGCAAAAACTCGGGTGTGGGAGGAGTTTGGAGAGGCCATGGAGAAAGACTTCCGTACGGCTCCGAAGCGATTCTGGTCCGCCATCCGGCGTCTCAGGAGGGGGAAGCAATGCAGCACCAACACTGTTTATAGTGGGGATGGTGTGCTGCTGACCTCGACTCTGGACGTTGTGGGTCGGTGGGCGGAATACTTCGAAGACCTCCTCAATCCCACCAACATGTCTTCCATTGAGGAAGCTGGGCCTGGGGACTCTGGACTGGGCTCTCCAATCTCTGTGGGCGAGGTCGCCGAGGTGGTTAAAAAGCTCCTCGGTGGCAGGGCCCCGGGGTTGGATGAGATCCGCCCGGAGTTCCTCAAGGTCCTGGATGTTGTAGGGTTGTGTTGGCTGACACGACTCTTCAACATTGCATGGACATCGGGGGCAGTCCCCCTGGATTGGCAGACTGGGGTGGTGGTCCCCCTGTTCAAAAAGGGGGACCGGAGAGTGTGCTCCAATTACAGGGGAGTCACACTCTTAAGCCTCCCCGGCAAGGTCTATTCGGGGGTGCTGGAGAGGAGGGTCCGTCGGATAGTCGAACCTCGGATTCAGGAAGAGCAGTGTGGTTTCCGTCCTGGTCGTGGAACGCTGGACCAGCTCTACACCCTCAGCAGGGTCCTGGAGGGTGCATGGGAGTTCGCCCAACCAGTCTACATGTGCTTTGTGGACTTGGAGAAGGCGTTCGACCGTGTCCCTCGGGGGGCCCTGTGGGGGGTTCTCCGGGAATACGGGGTGCCGGGCCCTTTGATACGGGCTGTCAGGTCCCTGTATGACCGGTGTCAGAGTCTGGTCCGCATTGCCGGCAGTAAGTCGGGCTAATTTCCGGTAAGAGTTGGACTCCGCCAGGGCTGCCCTTTGTCACCGATTCTGTTCATTACCTTCATGGACAGAATTTCTAGGCGCAGCCAAGGTGTTGAGGGGATCAGTTTTGGTGGCCTTAGGATTGTGTCTCTGCTTTTTGCAGAGGATGTGGTCCTATTGGCTTCATCAGGTCGTGATCTGCAGCTCTCGCTGGATCGGTTCGCAGCCGAGTGTGAGCGGCCGGGATGGGGATCAGTGCCTCCAAATCCGAGGCCATGGTCTTGAGCCGGAAAAGGGTAGAGTGCCTTCTCCGGGTCAGGGGGGGTGTCCTGCCCCAAGTGGAGGAGTTTAAGTATCTTGGGATCTTGTTCACGAATGAGGGACGAAGGGAGCGGGAGATCGACAGGCGGATTGGTGCAGCGTCTGCCGTGAAGCGGGCGCTGTACCGGTCCGTCGTGGTGAAGAGAGAGCTGAGTCAAAAAGCGAAGCTCTCGATTTACCGGTCGATCTACGTTCCTACCCTCATCTATGGTCATGAACTTTGGGTCATGACCGAAAGAACGAGATCGCGGATACAAGCGGCCGAAATGGGTTTCCTCCGTAGGGTGGCTGGGCTCTCCCTTAGAGATAGGGTGAGAAGCTCGGTCATCCGGGAGGGACTCGGAGTAGAGCCGCTGCTCCTCCACATCGAGAGGAGCCAGTTGAGGTGGCTTGGGCATCTGTTTAGGATGCCTCCTGGACGCCTCCCTGGTGAGGTGTTCCGGGCACGTCCCACCAGGGGGAGGCCCCGGGGAAGACCCAGGACACGCTGGAGAGACTATGTTTCTCGGCTGGCCTGGGAACGCCTTGGGGTTCCTCCTGAAGAGCTGGAAGAAGTGGCTGGGGAGAGGGAAGTCTGGGCCTCCCTTCTTAAGCTGCTGCCCCCGCGACCCGACCCCGGATAAGCGGAGGAAGATGGATGGATGGATGGACATAGAGAACGGTTCATGGATCCTGCCTGGTAATCAGTCCTGTTCTGCCTGAGCAGCGTCCGTTCCTCGTCACTCACAATAATGGAAATTAATCAGAGTCCAAACAAACTAAAGACACTTTGATTAAACTGTAACAAACCTTGAGAAAGGATCCAGCTTGTTAATGTAATAAGTATGTCTTCTCTGCAAATACTCCCCCCTCAGGCATTAAGTAGAATAGATCAATATGTGAAAAAAGACAAATGTTAATTTTCCAACCACAGCTCAGTCTAAACCCGCCTGTAACGCATCCGTCATCAGCAGGTGGGTAGGATGTGAAACTCCGACATCCTGTCAGCCTATCATCCACCTACCAGCGTTTTTCTGTTCCCACTGTAATCCAATCAGAGTAAAGAAAGCCTCTGGTTCCACAGTCATTATTAATATTTTAATGATGTAAAACTACATGTATGAACATTTTATGTTTGATGCAAAGTCACCTATAAGGCCGCCTTAAAAGGACGGTCTTTAAAGTTACAGCTAGCAGGTCTTCTTCTATCGCGTTCCAAACATTTAGCATAACGTTTTATACGGAATGATTAACTCTAATTTACTGTTTTTTAATGCTCTGTTAATTATAATCATATTTAATGAATATTAAGGCCTTAATTCAGAAAGTAATAATTTGATGACTTTTAATGGTCTTTAATGACCTGCGGGAATTCTGTTCTACCATCCTCTGCTGCTCCTCCATGCAGCGCCGCTAAATGGGCCCATTTAGGAGATTTATATTTATAAACTGAACCGTATAAATTTAATTCTGCCTCCTAGTCGCTTTTAAACAGTATAAAACATGCAGGTCTGGACTCTGGATCCATTCTGGCATCAGCTGCCAGGTAAATACCAGCGAGGCTGGGAAGGAGAACGAACAGCAGCACCCTCTAGTGGACGATGGGAGCATTACAGCAAGGAAATTACATCCAGTTACTGGTTAATCATCATCATCAGCTGTGTGTTTAGTTTTAGAAAACTTCAAATCAGCTGCTAACAAAGAGCTGAACATGGCTAACAATAAAAAACACAATAGAAGAATATAATAAAGCATAAAGATATGAAGTTAGGCAATAATAAAAATGTGTTTAAGCTACATGAACAAGGTTGAGTCCTGCCAGCATTAACAGCAGCCAATAAAAGCAGCGGAGACGCCTGTAATAAACATTTCATTTCTCATTAAGTCAATCATTTGTTTACGGAACGAATCCGTCCGACACGAGGAGCTGGAGATGGTCTGAAGGTTCTGGACTCAGGAGAAGCTCCTTCAGCAGCAGCCTGACAGAAAGGAGACGCTCCCCACGGAGAAAACAGATGTTTCAGAGGTAATCTGAGTAATGTGGGGTCAGAGGTCAGAGCAGGGACATCTGGAAGCAATCATCTGCAGCTTCTTCTCCAACCAGAGTTCCTCCTCCTGGATGGGACGTGTCATGTTTGTTCAACAAATCCACAAGATCCTCAGCAGAACGTCTGCTGCCTCTGTAAACACCAGCAGCTCCACAGACACAACAGCAGTCAGGTTTCCCCCTTGGAGACGCCTTCAGGGCCGAACATGGCGTCCATCTGAGCGTCCATCAGGGAGGGGGCAGAGTTCACGCTGATATGATTCAGGAACACATGTGAGGAAATGTTGGTGTCGTCATCCAGGAGGAGCGTTTGGTTCTGAAAGACGGCAGAACCGGGTCGGTGGTCACAGCTACATCTGACCGGACCTGGTCTGAACGCATCATCTGAGTTAAACATCTAAGAGCGGAAAAGCTGGCCTCTGATTGGACAACCAATCACTGATCTGAACACAGTGAGGCGGGACGACTGCCCCACTGGTGACCTGGAAGGACCGGCCTCTCATTTAAAGCCTGAGTCGCCTCGAGTCCGTTCCTCCTAACGCATCCATCCATCCATCGTCCATCCATCATCCATCCATCCATCCATCCATCCATCGTCCATCCATCGTCCATCCATCGTCCATCCATCCATCCATCCATCGTCCATCCATCGTCCATCCATCGTCCATCCATCCATCCATCCATCGTCCATCCATCGTCCATCCATCCATCCATCCATCGTCCATCCATCCATCCATCCATCGTCCATCCATCGTCCATCCATCCATCCATCCATCGTCCATCCATCATCCATCCATCCATCCATCCATCGTCCATCCATCGTCCATCCATCGTCCATCCATCCATCCATCCATCGTCCATCCATCGTCCATCCATCCATCCATCCATCCATCGTCCATCCATCCATCCATCCATCGTCCATCCATCCATCCATCCATCCATTGTCCATCCATCATCCATCCATCGTCCATCCATCCATCCATCCATCCATTGTCCATCCATCATCCATCCATCCATCCATCCATCCATCGTCCATCCATCATCCATCCATCGTCCATCCATCCATCCATCGTCCATCCATCATCCATCCATCCATCCATCCATCCATCGTCCATCCATCATCCATCCATCGTCCATCCATCCATCCATCCATCGTCCATCCATCATCCATCCATCCATCCATCCATCCATCGTCCATCCATCATCCATCCATCGTCCATCCATCCATCCATCCATCGTCCATCCATCATCCATCCATCCATCGTCCATCCATCCATCCACCCATCGTCCATCCATCATCCATCCATCGTCCATCCATCATCCATCCATCGTCCATCCATCCATCCATCCATCGTCCATCCATCATCCATCCATCCATCGTCCATCCATCCATCCACCCATCGTCCATCCATCATCCATCCATCATCCATCATCCATCCATCCATCCATCGTCCATCCATCATCCATCCATCCATCGTCCATCCATCCATCCATCGTCCATCCATCATCCATCCATCGTCCATCCATCATCCATCCATCCATCTATCCATCGTCCATCCATCATCCATCCATCCATCCATCCATCCATCGTCCATCCATCCATCCATCCATCCATCCATCGTCCATCCATCGTCCATCCATCAATCCATCCATCCATCGTCCATCCATCCATCCATCCATCGTCCATCCATCCATCCATCCATCCATCATCCATCCATCCATCCATCCATCGTCCATCCATCGTCCATCCATCCATCCATCCATCCATCCATCGTCCATCCATCGTCCATCCATCCATCCATCGTCCATCCATCATCCATCCATCCATCCATCCATCCATCCATCCATCGTCCATCCATCCATCCATCCATCGTCCATCCATCCATCCATCCATCCATCATCCATCCATCGTCCATCATCCATCCATCCATCCATCGTCCATCCATCCATCCATCCATCATCCATCCATCCATCCATCCATCATCCATCCATCATCCATCCATCATCCATCCATCATCCATCCATCATCCATCCATCCATCCATCATCCATCCATCATCCATCAATCCATCATCCATCATCCATCCATCCATCATCCATCATCCATCAATCCATCCATCCATCCATCCATCCATCATCCATCCATCCATCCATCATCCATCATCCATCCATCCATCATCCATCATCCATCAATCCATCCATCCATCCATCCATCCATCCATCATCCATCCATCATCCATCCATCATCCATCCATCATCCATCCATCCATCCATCATCCATCCATCATCCATCCATCCATCCATCATCCATCCATCATCCATCAATCCATCATCCATCATCCATCCATCCATCATCCATCCATCATCCATCAATCCATCATCCATCCATCATCCATCCATCCATCCATCATCCATCCATCATCCATCAATCCATCATCCATCATCCATCCATCCTCACCCATCATCCTTTCCAATCCATCCATCCCCAATCCACCCATCATCCTTTTCCTTTCATCCATCCATCATCCACCCTTCCATCCCCCATCCACCCATCATCCACCACCCAAATCCATCATCCATCCATCATCCATCAACCCAAATCATCCATCATCCATCCATCCATCATCCTAAATCCACAATCCATCCACCCACCCACCCCTTTCCATCATCCATCCTTTAAAACCCAAATCCACCCAAACCCTTTTCCATCCATCACCACCCATCACCCCCATCATCCATCCATCATCATCCTTCCCATCCATCATCCACCATCCATCATCCATCCATCCATCCATCCACCCATCCCTTTCCATCCATCCATCCATTCACCCCATCTCCACCCATCCATCCCACCCAAACCACCCCACTCCATCCATCCTTTCCACCACATCCATCGCCCAATCCATCCATAATTAAAATCCACCCAAAAGGGTCCATCCATCCTTTCCATCCCCCTCGCCCATCCATCATCCCCCAAATCGTCCATCCATCCATCCTTTTCCATCCTTTGCCCATCCATAAACCACCACCCAACCCTTTCCCTTTTTTCCCTTTCCATCGCCCAAATCCATCATCCATCCCATCGCCCCATCCATCCTTTCCACCCATCCACCCGCCCACCCAATAAACCCAACCCAAACCTTTCCATCCATCCATCGTCCATCCATCCATCCATCTCCACCCCATCCGTCCATCCCCCAAATCCATCTTTCCATCCATCGTCCATCCATCCATCCACCCAATCCACCCATCGCCCCCATCTCCACCCATCCATCCACCCAATCCATCCATCCATCGTCCACCCACATCCATTTTGTCCATCCATGTCCACCCCTTTGCCCAAAATTAAATCGTCCCCCAAATCCACCCAAATCCTCCATCCACCGCCCAATACCATCACCCCCATCCATCCACCCCAATCGTCCACCATCATCCATCCTTTCCTTCCATCCATCGTCCATCCCCATCACCCTTTCCCCCATGCCCACCCCTCACCCATCCATCGTCCTTCCACCCAAATCCTCCATCCATCCATCGTCCATCCCATCATCCATCCACCCCATCCATCCAACTCCATCCATCCCCAATCCATGTCCATCCACCCAAATTCCACCCATGGGCCACCCAATTCCACCCAAATCCACCCCATCCATCCACCCAATCCACCCATCGTCCTTTCCCTTCACCCAAAACCATCGCCCCATCCACCCAAATCCATCCTTTCCTTTCGCCCAAAGCCAAATTTAACCCTCCATCCATCCCTCCATCGTCCCCTTCATCCATCCATCGTCCTTTCCCAATCCATCCATCCTGTCCACCCCATCCATCCATCGACCATCCATCCTTTCCATCGCCCAATCCATCATTTTTCCCCAAATCCATCGTCCTCCTACCCTTCCAGCCATCCTTTCCCTGGGGCCTTCCTTCCTTCCACCCCTTTGTCCACCCATCCGCCCAAACCATCCCACCCCATCGTCCCTTTTCCAGCCACCCAAAATCCTTTACCCAACGTAAACCACTAATAAACCTCGCCGCCACTACCACTAATTCCTATCCTCCTCCCATCTTCCTCCTGCCCTTTCCTCCAAATCCTTTCCATCCTTTGCCATACCATCCTTTCCTTCCACTATCCACCAAATTTTAATCCCCCCTTTTACCCCCTCATGAATCCTAACTTTATAATAATAATATAATAATCCTCCATCCATATAATGATAATAACCCACCTTTCCTTTTAATAATCCATTTTCCCATAAACCCCACATCCACCCATCCATCACACCCAAATCCTCCATCCTTTCCATACCCAATCCATCCACCCATTCATCCATCGCCCTTTTTCCCTTTCCATCCAGCCCACCCCATCCATCCATCTTCCACCCAAACCCAAACCATCTTTCCATCCATCCATCCATCCATCGTCCATCCATCCATAAATCCATCCATCCATCCATCATCCATCCATCCTCATCCATTACCCATCCATCATCCACCCATCCTTTCCAAAACCATCCATCCTTTAAACCCCATAATCCATCCATCGTCCATCCATCCATCCATAAACCACCCACCCTCCATCATCCACCCACCCATCCACCCAAATCCATCATCCATCCACCCAAATTCCATCCATCATCCACCCAAACACCCAAATTCCCACCCCATCCATCCAACATCCACCATCCATCACCCAACCCATCGTCCATCCATCCATCCATCCATCTTTCCATCCATCCATCCATCATCCACCCATCCATCCCTCCTCCATCACCCACCATCCATCCATCCATCCATCCATCACCATCCATCCAAAAACCCCCATCCACCCCTCCTTTCATCCATCCATCATCCACCCAACTATCCACCCATCCTTCCTCATCCATCCTTTCCAACTCCTTTCCAAATCCATCCCCCAAACATCCATCATCGTCCATTCCATCCACCCATCATCCATCCTTTAATTCCACCCAAACCCTTTCCATATCCATCCTCCTCCACCCAACATCCACCCCATCCATCCATCACCCAAATCCATGTCCTTTCCATCCTTTTCATCCTTTCCATCCTTTGCCCCTTCCATCCTTTCGTCCACCCATCCATCCTCATCTATCCATCCATCGTCCATCCATCCTTTCCCCCATCCATCCACCCAATCCATCGCCCATCCATCCACCCATCCATCCATCCATCCATCCTTTCACCCTCCATCCATCGTCCTTTTCCACCCCACACCCAAACCATCACCCCCCCCACCCCATCCATCATCCATCCAACACCCTCCATCCTCCATCCCAACCCATCACCCCACCCATCCATC